GGTAATCAACAAATAATAAAATAAATTTAATTGAAAGATTGAATAGAGAAAGAGTTACCATTTAAATCCAATTTAAAAGTAATATAATTAGCATTAGAACTCATAACCATTCTATCAACAATAATTTTTAATTCAAAATTATCTGAAGTAATAATAATTTTATTACAAATAATATGATCTTCTTCTTTTTCAATATTTTTTTGACCAATTTTAAAAGGAATCATAATAAAATTATCATTTTTATTTTCTTTATAAATTTCAATAGAATCAAAACTTTTTTTCATTTTATTCACTTGAATTTTTTTATCTTTTAATTTCCAATAATCAACAGTGACAGTTTTATTTCCACAAATAACTTTTGCTGAAATAATCATTGGTATATTTTTGCTTTTTTCTCCTTCAAAAAAATTTACTTCACTTAATATCATTTTTTGTAAACATTTACAACATAAATATTCTTCAATAGAAATTAACGCTTTTTCTTTATCATTTTCCATAATATTTAACCAATTAATACAGAAATTTGCTTTATATTTGAAGTCTATTTTTCCTAATTCTTTTGCAATTAAACAATTTTTTGTTGTTGGAATAAAAAATAGAAGAACGTTAATTATTTTTTTTCTTTGATTAATACTTGAAAGTTGTCGAACAAATAAACCAATAAACCAGTCTCCACCACATAAAACAATTGGAAGAGAAATATTATTTCTTGCATTTTCTATTAAAAATGGAATAACTTGTTCATTAAAATCACCATTAAATACTTCAACAAAATGATATTTTTCATAATTATTTGATGATTCAATAATTTTTCTTATTTGTTCACTTCTTTTTTTCTTTGCTTGGACTATAATTATTATTCCATCACTTATCCCTTTTAATGGTAAATCTTCATGAATATCATCTACTTCTGTTTGTTCTTCTTCTCGTGGTGATAAAATTCTTTTTTCAATAATTTGTGTTTGTTCTTTCTTTTGGAGATGCATAACTCGTCTCAAAGTTGCTGCTCTTGATCTCTTTTCTGGTATTTTTTCTGTACCATTAAATATTTTTGTTTGTTGTTCATATTCAGTTAAACATTCTTTTTGAAATTGATTTATTTCATTTATCGAACAACATTCACTTGGCATAGAACTTGCTTCAATATTTAATTCTCCAAATTCTTTTCCATTAAATTTCCCAATTCCAATAATTTGAAGATTTCCTTTAAATTCTGAAATAAATGTTTCTTGAAGTGAAAATTTACATCCACCAATTTGTTTATTTTCTTTCTTTGATTTTTTGAATAATTTAATTAAAAGAAAGTCATTCAAATTATAATAATGTATATATGGAAATATAATAACTTCATCATATCTATTTTCTCCTTTTAATAATGGTATAAATGAACTTTTAGATTTTGATATTGATGATATAAATTGAATTGAACAAATCCATTCTTTTTCTCCAATTTCTAATTTTGTTTTATTGATTTTAATAAATAAATTCCTTTTAATAGAACATCGTGGACATTCTTCATTATTGATAACTCCTTTCATTTAATGAATGGTCAATAAAAGATGTGATTAAATCTTATTTTATTTTCTTTTTTAGTTTTTTTTATTTTTCTTTTTTTTTGTGGAATTTTTGTTATTCTCAATTGGAATTGAAGTGATGAATAAACAACAACAATTGCAAATGAAAATTAAACAAGCATTTTCAACAGCACTTGGACCAGTTACTTCAAACATTCCAATGTTGTTAATGGCATGGTTAACTGGTTCTTCAGTAAGTTATATTAATCTTATGTTTACTGCAACTTTAATTAATAATTTCATTAACTCACTTTCAAATGTTAATGAAGTATTTAAAAAGTATACAAGCATTGATAAAAGTACTATCTTAATTCTTAAAGTAGTTTATTTGATTGCATGTTGTGGCATACTTGGAATTGCAGTTTACAAATTTAGTAAAATGGGAATTTTACCAAACCGAGACTCAGATTTTCTCCCATCATTATCACAACGAATGGTTTGTTTCTTTCTTTTCATTTTGTCTTGTTATCCATTCAGTTACACCTAAAGTTATAATATTTTTTTTAACTATATTAGATTGTTCAAGAAATAATAATTTAATTAAACACATTGTTTGTGATTTATTTTAAAATGAAAAGGTGTTAATTTTTAAATGAGATTGGTGTTTAAAATAATATGGAACAAAGTCATAAATGTTCAACCCTTTCAATCCATGAGCAATTTGTTCTAAATAAGTCATTAATATCAGTCTGTTTAGACAATCGTTCGTTCAATTCTTTTCTCTTTTCTTGATAACCTTTTTCTCCTTTCTTTGTTTCTTCAAGTCTTCTTTTTTGTAACACCATCTTTTGTTCCATTTGTGCTTTTGTTTCTTCAGCTTTATCTTCTTTGTTCTCTCGCTTCTTGGGTTTTTTATCTTTGTCTTTAAAACATAACTTTTTTGTTTTGACCTTTTCCATCTTCAATAACAAAAATATTGTTTTTTAGTTGTTTATTTTTCTTCTTGTGGTTTAATGTTTCATATTTTTGTGAAAAGAACTGGGTTATTTGTTTTAGAGATGGTGTTATAGATGATTTGAATAACTAACAAACCATTCTTTATAGTATAAGAAACCAAGGATAAATAGTACATTTTTATTGAATTTCTGAAAATAGAAATAACTAACGTTAAAGTTAGTGAAACAAAAATAGAACGGTTGACAAAAAACATGATTAGACAAAATAATATAGTTTCGTTATAAAATAATAAAAAATTTGAATTTAATAAAAATAGAAAAAAATATTCAAAGGTAATATTTTGTTTTATGATGATTGAAAAGAACGAAGAAAAACGATGTATTTTAAGATGAATTGAAAGATAGTTTTGATAACCCGATTTCAACAGAAACGGAAAAGACAAAATTGTTTTGGGGTTTTAATAATATAAATACAATCTTAAAGAACTCTTTTGGTAAAACAGAAGTTGAATATAATTGATGCAGATTGATTCACGTCAATGTTCACTAAGTGATCTTCTTCCTAAGCTACAAGGAGAAATTCAGTCTCATGGAGTGACTGTTCATAAAAAGAAAAGTAAAGTTGTATTATCATGGACAAAAGAAGAAGATATATTACTTCAAAATGCTATTCAATTGTATGGGATTAATAACTGGGATTTGATAGATGAATGTGTTCCAGGAAGAACAAAAAAACAATGTAAAGATCGTTATTATAATCGATTTGATCCTAATATTGTTCGTAAGCCATGGTCTTATGAAGAAGATCAAATCTTATTGAAATATAGAAAAGTTTATGGAAATAAATGGACTGAAATAAGAAAGTATCTTCCTGGAAGAACTGCTAACCAAATCAAAAATAGATTCTTCTCTCATTTTGCTGATTTGGTAGAGAATCAACCAACACAACCTATTCAAACTCATTCTGTTTTTATTCCTGTTAATTCAGGATTTACTGTTATTGCAAATTCACCTATATTTTATTAGTAAAATAAATGTTATTTCATTCAATTAAATAGTATTATTGATATTCGTTGTTATTATCTTTTTTATTAAAATATGTTTCAAAATAACTTCTTTTTTTTCCTTTAAGTTAAAA